ATATGCGAGCATAAGATAGTGTTAGAATAAGACTCTATATTATTACAGGCAAGGTGTACTTTCACTGAGAAAGAAAAACCTAACGAAGACACATGGCACATGCCATTGGTGCAACTAAAGACAAGGGGATAGTCTTCACTGTCCTCTGAGATGATTTAGCATGGGAAAGCATTTTCAGAAAACAAACAAAAATGAATTTAATAAGCCAACTATTAAGTAGTGATGCATACACTCTGAAAACCCCTTCCCATTGACAGAGACATATTTAACTGTTCTTTGTGCTCTTGGCTAAGCACGGAACCAGACACCTCTTGAGTTCCTGACTCTAAGGTCTTCCCATCATCAGAATGACCAAAGATGTTTACTTTCCTGCTGCTGTCTATTGTGAGCATTCAGACTATGGGACAGAGTAGTCACTCACTGACAAGGTAAAAATACCCCCAAAGCTAAAGCCGGCAGCTAGACGGTGCAGAGTTAAGATGACAAGGCATGCATTTTAGAGTCCCAATCACAGTTGCTACATGGACTATTGCTGCTGGCCCTCTCCCCCTCTTCCTTGTCCTCCTTCTTTTCGTTTAGAACAGGGTTTGGCTCTGTGTTCCAGACTGGTCTCAAACTTGTGGCAACATTGCTGCCTAGGCCTCTCAGGTGTTGGGAGCGCAGGCATGAGTCACTGTGTCTAATATGCTTTCCCATTAAAAGTGCCGTAAGTCTGCTTCCACGTTTTAACTATAATATAAACTAAGATGTAAAATTAGTATCCCATCAACAATACATTTGTACAAATGTTTAAATAACAACTGCTGTCCTGCCTCAATAATTCAATAGTGTAAACCTCTCTTATAAAAACAACTAACCATGAAAACTTGAATCTATACTAATGTTTTCTCTCAAAAATTCCTATTGGAAGAGTAACCTTCATCAAAAAGTATATTTGTGCAGCATTTATAGAAAGAGTGCTAATAAAAACTTACAAAAATTTCTTTTTTGTTTTTCTGTTTAGTTTTGTTCTTCGAGATAGGATTTCTCTGTGTAGCCCCAGCTGTCCTAGAACTTGCTCTGTAGACCAGGCTGGCCTCCAACTCACAGAGATCTGCCTGCCTCCGCCTCCTAAGTGCTGTGATTAAAGGCGTGTGCCACCACTGCCTGGCAAGTTTCTAAATTTTTAATATTTGTCTTGTGTCCTCAGAATAGGACATGGAAGAATGGAGATGTGTTTGGACACAAAGGCATCAACGTGGTAGTTTGAAGAAGCATTCTTTTCATTGTTTTTCAATGACTCTCCCTTTTCCTGAAGCCTGTGCTTTCCAGCAGGCATACTGGCTAGGGTTTTTTGTTTTGTTTTGTTTTACTAAGAAACCATTTGTCCCTCCAGTGTAGAAATGTTTGATTTCATTTCTGTCTCAGTTATCAGTTTAATATAGGAGACGACATTTTCTAAATAAATATTGGCTGAATGAATGATTTCACTTTGTCTCTCAATATCTTATCTAGTCCTAATTTCTCCCTTCCCATATCATATAACATAATCAGAAAATTTGTATAATATACTTGTACCTTCTACAGTATAACATGTGCAATCACTAAGGTGATGGGAAAATTTTAGCAGATCTACATACATTTGTGTAAATATCAACACTCAATTATGAATGCTATCATTCATTAGTCAAAATATAAAAACCTTAAATTTAAGGAACCATTTTAAATTTAGTTTTGGCACCCATTTTCTTCTTAAATGTAGCAAATTTACTTTAGTATGACTCACTACAAATGAACAGTATAGTGTTGCACTGAAATATTATGCATCCTGTAACAAGGTATAATCATTGCAAAGATAATAGCAATCATAAAAGCATTTTTGTTTATTAAAGTCATTGTGGGAAGGTCTAGAATCACTATAAATATTCAATAGTGACAATTCCTTTTTCTTGGTAAAAATTGAATTCAAAATGGAAGAGATGAAACATGGCTTACTGTAGAATAAGAGAGTTTCCAATAATGCTGCATAAGAATTTAAGTTATCTTTAGTTTTTAAACAATCTATGATCGTAATATCAAGTAAAGAACACAAAGTTGCTAATAATAACCAGACATATTTTCACTCAGAATAAAGACAGATTGATCCCAAGAAATAAAAGCAAATTCAAGAATTTATGTTTTCATAATGAATGGGCAACATCAACATTTCCTTGTGAGCCATTGTAGCAGTTACTCCTTGCCACCTGAAGAAATCTAAGTTGCCTAGAGACACCAGCCTGGCCCTTAAAATGTACAGGTCCACAAGCATCCACAATAAATAGAGTACAAGACAATCATCTCTCTAGGAATACTCATCTCCCTTTCCCTCGTAAGATAAAGCGGTCTTTTTGTCCTGAAGAGGATGGTGATAGCAGCATTTAGAAGTGTTGAGCTTACATCGTAATAAACGTCCAAGCTTCTGCCCACCAAGCCAGGTAGACCAGTAAGAAACTGGCTGTAGGCCAACCTCAGTGGCTGAGTCTTCTCTGCACAGCACAGAGAAAACGCATGAGGCGCCTAGTTTGCTTTGCTCTTGGAGGGAAGTAGACTATCTCTCTGAAAGTTTTCCTCTGTGAATTAGCTGTGGCATGATCATCACTTCCACAAGTCAGGAAGTGGTTGTTTTAATTATATGATAACTCGATCAATGTGATTATCCACTTAGATATATAACAAAACAGACTTGAAATTCCTGGTTCAGGGTCAAATCACAAAACGCCCTTTGCTATAGGTATGTTCGATGTTTACTGCGTGCTATAAAGACCTAGCAGAGTACAGATACAGATGAGAGAAGAAAGGTGGAATTCTCAACTGAATGTTTACCAAATGGGAAAACTCCTATCCCAACTGTCTTCTCTTCATTTTGAGAAAAGCACAATATGAAACGGGGTTTTGATAGAATAATTTAAATTTGACACATAAACAGGTTTTGCTCCTCAAGTAAAATTTGTATAACATAAAAAAAATCAAATTCTGCGAGAAAACCTGATTGCTTCCAAGTGACATTACTTGCAAGCCTCATACTTAAATAGCTGTAATTAAAGCAAGCCCTTCGTCTTGAGATGGGCCGTCTGCCCCCCCCCACTCTGCTGACTCCGTTGAACCCTGCACACGCCAGGAGACTCTGTGGCTTCTGTTATGGGGGTAGCGATTGCTCTCATGCTTTACCGGACCAGCCCCCTGCTTTGCGGTCTCTCCAGATGGGCGCACTGTAAGAGGAGCACTGTCTAACTTGTCTGTTCTTCAGACAGACCTGGGGAGCTACCGTTTCCTTTCAGACTCATGGACCAGGCAGTGTGGTGCATGCCTGGAGTCTAAGGCAGGAGGGATATGAGTTTGAGACTAGCCTGGGCTAACCATAGCAAGTCCAGGTCCAGCTTGGGCTAAGAGTGAGGTGTTGTTTCAAACAACAAAACCAGGAAGAATAACAAGCACCAGACTGTGGAGACCACTGCCCCACTTTCTATCTCTTCTCGGAAAAATCCTAAGCCTCAAAGGAGACAGAGAGTTAATACGCCTTATCCAATTTTTGAAGTTTTTTTTCCTACTAAGCAATTATTTTTTTGTAAATTTAGGCCCCCGTAGAGTCGTATTTTTAAGACCTTCTTCTCCCCAAAAGCTTTCCACTCTTGTTAAGAGGATTTGCTTGTTCCCGTTTCACTCATCTCTAGGGGGGACCTGGGGAAAATGTACTGTGGGTTCCTGCCAAGAACACAAATTAAAACTAAAGTTGAATTTGTCGGTACACTCCCAGATCTAGTGGATAGAAGTCGAGGCTTCTGCAAGCCAACCCGATGGTGATTTGCAGCGCAGTCGTGGGTTGTGTTAGAAGAGAACACACACAGCACCACAGAGGAAGGATGAGGGAACTTTGAACACAAACTAATACTTAAGCCAAGGAGGGAAGCCACAGCACTGAGGGGAAGCGCCTACACAGTCAAGCGGCTTTACCTGTCGCCGTCGTCGTCTTGGGAGAGACTCCTCTGCAAGTGCTCTTCCTTCCATGGTCCTCTCTCTCCCCCTGGCTCTGGGGCATCTTGGGCTTTCCCCTCCTCTCCTGGTTCTCTGAGTCTCTCCTCATGGCATGCTTCTGTAATCTTGTTCCCTCTCCCGTCTTCACTAACCATCCCCTCCTTCACCTCCTGCTTCTCCTCAACTGTCTCTTCTGGCTTAGCCCCGCCTGGCCCCCCCTCCTCTACTCCCTTTGTCCTTTGAATGACACACAAATGGAAGGCATGCAAAGAAACATGAAAGAGAAAAAAGAAAAGTCAGGAAAACTTCGAGGGAAAGGAAGCAGAGAGACAACGAAAACAATCACATCTTAGGTGAAACTTAGATCGTTTGAATGTAGAGTGCATTTTCTCACTGTGCCCCAGAGATGTACTGGCAAGCCATACCTAGTCATGATGGTTTTAAAATTGTGCCTTTAGTTACAAAATGGCATGGGGAAGCAGGCTGGGTTTGCAGTCTCTCCATTAGACAGAGCTCCAATATTCACAAAGCAAAAAGACCAGAGGAAACCGAAAGCAAAACTAACGTATACTAAATTTTCTTGAGGTAGTAAAGAGTGTTTCCATGTCTTTATAATACTTTCAAGAGGGTAGGAAAGCTTCCTATTAAAAAATTAGTTTTTTTAAATTAATGAAATATATTCAACCAGAAAAAAAAACCTGAGATAACTATTTTTCAAAATCCTCAAAATGTTAAATTCACACCTTCAGTTAACTGTCATTTCAATTTAATGATGATCTAACCACCGTGGTTTGGTTTTTTAAGTTACAAGTGTGAAGATATTATTTCAAGTAATTAGGTACACAAAGCTGTCATCAGCTCCATAAATATTGACCAAGATAAAATGACACATAGAGAAGACCCCATTGCTTTTACAATATACACCAACACTACAGGAAAACATTTCATGTTTATGCAAAGGAAGAATTCCCTCTGGGATCGGCTAGTGGTTCCTGGCCAAGCGCCCTTACCTGATTTTTCTGTCTCCTCGCGGCCGCTCTGACTGGACGGACATGTAGCTTGTGCTGCTGAAACGAGAAGCGCTACTAGTCCTTGAAAGCGCGGATACGTCACTTACATCACTGTCCGAGGATTTAGTGGAAGCGGTATCCGCCCCTCTATGTGGCTCCCATCCTGATGGATACTGTTGACACAGACGGACAAACACGCAGAGGCTGTCAGTATCAACACGTAAAGCTGCTATTAGCTAGCTCCTATTTCAGCACTCTCTGTCCTCGGAGGGCACTGCGATACCCAACTCAGTTGCATATAAAACAAGACGGAACGGCAATTATCCTAAAACAAAAATTAAATTCCTATGAAACCTTTGCTTTTAGCCAAGTTAATTGCAGCGTTTTCACCACACCCCAATGAGGGCCGTAAAAGGTTTCAAAACATCAATGGCCTTGGGGAAGAACATTGGGCTGAAATCTGGGAAATAAACATTCGTCTTAACATTAAGAAGCACACCTCTTAAACTTCTGATTAAAGTTTGAAAGGAAACAATCTGGTCAAGTTGCCTCTGCAGCTACACAGACCAATCCTAGTAGCCATCAACATTCTCTGAAATCCACTGGGCATCACTGAAAACCTAAAGATAATACAAAATCTAATTAATGAAAACCTGACAGTTTTAGAAAAGCCAAGAAAAAAGAGAAGTTTAATTTCTGAGCAGTTGCAGGAGTTTTGATGAATCCTAGAAATATTAGAGAAAGCCATTATTATTTGCAACAGCCCAATCTTCCTGGAATTGAAATAATTAGATAGTTAAGTGGCACAGGCATGGTTCAAGGGATTCTTGTGCTCAAATATTCTGGTAAATTGAAAAGCAACATAAATAATTTATGTTAATGACCTATTCTCATAAGATACATTTAATGTTAAAACTAATGGACACAATTTAATTTTATTACTGACAACAAAAGATCAGTTGCCAAGAGTCCTTGAGCTGAAATTTGGAAGGAAGGAAGGAAGGAAGGAAGGAAGGAAGGAAGGAAGGAAGGAAGGAAGGAAGGAAGGAAGGAAAAATGTGGACCTTGGAGCCTGGAAACCTGGAGCAAGGGGAGACTCTCACAAGTTGAGCAAATTTGAGCAAATAACTTCTTCTTTAGTATTCTTATTTTAAAATGATAAGAATAATCATATTCTTGCATGGCTGTTTTGAAAATCAGAAACAATATGTATCTTGTTACATTGTGTTTAGTATAATGTAAATAAATGAAGTATTAATAATAATTACTGTGCTATTAATAACTGCATTCTTCCTTACCTGCTACTGAATCTTCCGTTATGCTCACTGTACACCTTATGCTAAAACACTCTTATTTTTAAGAATTATTATTTTATTAGTCTGTCTTTGAGAACTTTCTAAATATAGATGCAGACAAGTTTTGCAAAGCTTTTGAAAAATAGGTATTTTACATATATCACTAGCTGTGATTTGAAGACTTGTTACTTAATTAAAGAATCCGGCAGAAACAGTAGTTCAGCATCAATATTTGATAGATAGAAACATTTTGGCCAATACAATTGAATGGAAAGTGGACATAAATTAAACACTTAGAGTCATAGGACTTGTTTTGTTTCTTCTGGACTTTGCAATTTCTAGCTATATACATCTTTTTTAAAAACTGACTCTTCAAACGTAAAGTAAAGGAATTGTTTCTAAGATGGCATAAAACATTGATAATCAAATTCATTAATCTAGAAATGCATAATTAAATTAGGTGGCAACTAACTTTTATTGAGTTCACTTCACCTTTCAACTTTAATTATTTAAAAAATAATTAAATTATTCAAAACACTGAAGCCCCTTTTCCCAGGAAATGTCTATATAAAGGGGATGATGGTGTTTATTAGTAAGAATATAATTATTTATTTTTAGTTCACTTATTTGGTACAAATTCAGCTCATGATATTCTTTTTCAAATAAATTCATTTAAAAGTATCAATTTACTCATATTATTTTTATTGTATTATTTTAATAGGTAGATTCAAGATTTCCATTATGTATCCATCTGTGCATCTAAAGAATATATTTATATTTTCCACAAATTTATCTAAAGTACATTGACCTCAAGTTGAAACATATATAGAAATATTAATTTTACTCATGTATCTTTCAATATTTCAATTACAAGAAATGTTTTAATTGCTAAGTAGATATCAGTAGACATGGAACTGTATCTGGGGGACTTTATTTTCTCATTTGTATAATTTATAAAAAAGAGACTACCCGCTACCACTTATTTTGAGATATTTCATAATTAGATAGAAAAGCAGTCTAGCATCATATTCTTATTTGCTTTTCCTCATGAGACCATCATATGTGAATTCAAACGAAAAATGAAAGCTTTAACTGTAGCAGGAAGTGGAGGCAATAAGAGCCATTAAGCGTCAAGTTTCTTGAGTGAGACCAGAATCACCGATCTCAATTCTAGCCATATAATTTACTATGTCTACTTTCTTGAACCTATTGCTTTCATGAGTGTCTCAGTTACCAACTGTTACAAGCAGGAAAAACAACAAAGCCTTTCTGTTAGGCTTGTTGCAAGGGTTAACGGAACAATGTCTGTATCTAGCACTATATCTGACATGTAGCAAGAGTTTAAATCGCAGATGAGACCTTCCTCAACATTGTGTTTCTCTTAGCAGATAATGCATATGGCTGTTGCAAACTCAAGGCCAGTTCCGGCAACAAGACAAGCCTCTTCTAAAAGAAATTTGAATGGGACTCTCAGTAGTCTCCTAGAAGATGGCTGACGGTAGAGTGCTGTACCAGAGCACAAGGACATCTGTGAAAAGGGGTTGAATAGCACAGCTCGTGTCGAGAACAGGAAAAGCTAAGAGCTTGATGATGTATCTACTCAAGACTGCACCTTTCTGCTTACCATAGGGCTATATCTGCGTCTTCAATCGCAAACAGACATGCCAACTCAAGAATGAGAAACTTAAAGAGTGATGACAAGGAAATCAATTTAAAATTACATTATTCGTGTGTGTGTGTGTGCATGTGTGCACGCGTGTAATAGTGCCAGAGAGCAGACTCCTAGGGAAAGAGGCTATGAAACCATGATAATGACATACTAGACAAGATATGACCTCTGATACAACCGTGGCATGGCTGTTACGACAGTCAACCTATTGTTTTCTGATTGGACTTGAGGCTCTCCCTGCAGGAGGGAAGGCATGCCTGGCCCTGTAAATCTGGGCAAGTGCTGTCTGGAGGCTGTGGAGATCGTGGCTCCTGGTTGGGAACCCTACTGGTTTTTGCTATATGAAAACGCTGTCAAGACGCCTTCTAAATACTCATGTACATCTAGATACCAGTGCTGCTTTCAGCCTTGCAATGGGCAGAAGTTAATGCCGACTCGTAACTGGTCAAAGTGCTTAGAATAAGAGGTGGTGAAGTCTCGACCCTGACTGGGACATTCCTATCACCTCTTCAAGGCTCATGGAAGATGGGGTGGAAGGATAGGAGACAGATGTGCATCAAGAAGACATCTTCTCAACATGACATAACCACTTTATTCACTCCTCACTTCAGCTGTGTTTACCTCTCTCATCATGCATGGGTGAGTGGACCGTGAGGTCCCACTCATTCATGGGGACTCTTAGCAGTTCATGGCTGCTGGAGAGACAGGGCGTGATTTTCTGCAGTTAGAGTAACTACTGATAACTTGCTCACGCCCCCCGCCCCCATGAATAGCATTCTGGTCATGCTCATGCAAGCCCCTCTAGTGGGTCTCACACAAAAGGAAGACATGAGAATAAGTGGGGGAGCGGACTGGAAAGAAGGACTTCAGTTGGGAAGGGAGGGTGTGTTGGAAGGAGAAAATGACAGAGATTCATTGTGAATTACAGAGGGCAATGGAGAATGAAAAGGGCTAAAACTCATTGTGTACATGTATGAAGCTACCGAAGAGTAAAACAATGAAAAATAAAAAGTCCTTTAATAGCAAAAGGTAGAACATAGTTTAAATATACTTAGAATAAAACATAATCATATATATGATTCAATCTCCCCTATAAAGTTATGACCTGAAACTATAATTCACAATGAAAATGTGTAATGTGTTTTTAATCCAAAGCACAATAAGCAATAATTATAAACCTCAACAGTAATATAAAACCAGTTCAATTATTATTATACCCAGAAAATGAGGTATGGATGTGACTAGGTCAGTTGGTTTATTTAGGAAATAGTTGGTGTTGTTTTTGCACTATCCATCAAATAAGGCTTTAAACATTTGTCAGGCAGGATGCACTTGGCAGATTAACAAGGAGTGCTCATTATTCTATTTAGTGAAGGGAAAACAGAAGGTTTAGAATTTTAGCTGAAAACTACCCTGCTTAGAGATCGCTAAAGTCTTGGGCAAGGCTTTCCGGACAATATTATGATGTTCCATATATTAATGTCAAGAAGATCATGAACTGCAGAAATTTACAAGAAATTATCATTGTTCACAATGTTCCAGACTCTCGGGAGTTCCTAAGTGGCCTGGAAAAGTCAATGTTCTTCCCATGTATCTAAAATTAGTGGAAAGTAACAGTGGATCTGAAGAGTCCTATTGAAAAGCCAGAAATCATTAAAATTTTAAGATACAGTTGATAAAAAAATTGAATTTTAAAAATAAAAGCTCCACATTCTTCAGTGACCTCATTTGAAGGTTTTGGACAACTTCCCAGGCAGTTATCCTCCACCCCCACCAAGAGTACTGCATCAAGTTTGTCTTCTCCAATCTTCATACATGAATTTCTCAGACAAAGGATTGTGAATTTCCTCAAACACTAGTTGGCTTCAATTTAGCAAATCTTACTAAAACTGCAATTTGTAGTACAAAATGCTAGTCTAAGGAATTATTACAAATGCTGGGCAGAAAATAACATCACCACCACCAACAAAGCAAGTTTATGCATCAATCAACTAAGCACTTCTTTAAATCCCATGGAGGGAGTGTGGTGGTTTGAACGAGAATAGCCGCCATAGGCCGTATGTTTGAATACTTGGTCCCTAGTCGGGGGTGGGAGATGTCTGGAATGATTTAGGAGGTGTAGGCTTGTTGGAAGAGATGACATGAGGGGTGGACTTTGAGGTTTCAGAAGCCCAGGACATTCGTAGTTAGCTCTCTCCGCCTCATGCTT